AACTCCATAATATTCTGTTTACATATTCCAATTTATAGTGTCCAATTCCCTTTCAATTTGGGGAGATTCCTTCTTCTTGCGCCAGATGTTCACAACAATTTGCCAGCATTCTGTGTGTTGTTACTTAACAAACGTAAAAAAGAGGCCCACGAAGTTATTAGTTGCAAAATTCTAATGACACAAACTCTCCCTACGCCCCCTTTTAATAATTTGTTATTGTAGTCTCTGGACTTAATCGTCCACATACATTCGAGGGATCTGTAGGCCTCTAAGAATAACAGTAACAGTGTCTTTCGACCAAGTCACCATATTGTACACTGTACAGTGACTGTGCAGTAGTAGATAGTAGATATCTAGTGTGCAGTGTATAGTCCTAACAGCTTTGACGCCAGATGCACTTACAACGCACTGGGTGACCTTGATACATAACTTAAGATTGAAAATAGACAATTGAAAAACAAAGTTTGCTCCAGTTTTAAAATATGGCATCAAATCAGGTTCCACGTGAGCCACTTTGCTTACTTTGATACGCCGATTTCGAAAATGAAATCAGTTTTTAGCTGCGATAATTATTTTGAAAATTCTGCGCGCAAAGTTTAATCCCGCGCGGCGGCAAACTTCAAAAGAATTTTGCGTCACAGCCTCCCACTTGTCACTTCACACTGAGGTGGGGGCGGGGCGGGGAGGGGATACTGTTGTCTGTCCTATTTATGATAGGAATATACTACAAGATGCAATCTTGGTTGAATCTATATAAAATACTTCTTTTTGTGATCTTCAAAATCCAGTAAGAAAAACGGCCAATCGCGAGTTATTTTGTTAATTTGGACACGCTGGTTCCGAATTTGATATTATTTTTACGATTAGACATAGTTTTAAATGTTTATTGTAACATCTTTTTGGCGGGCCGCGGGAGTATCAATACCATCATCAATACCATCATGACGAGGTATTCGCTTAGGGCAGTCGCTGTTCCCCGGACAAATTTTTTCCTGTTTTTAAAAATAGAGTCGCTGTTCCCCTGTGCTCCGCCACAAAGCGAAAACGCACAAAGGGAACCGATTGGATTTTGAAGTCCAGAATTCTCTTTTACGCGTCGTGTGTATTATTTTTGCATTTAAAACACGTTCATAACGAAATTCGTAGGCCTACATCCTGAAAAAATGTCCGTTTCCCCTGATTATGCAATGCGCGTGTTAGACTGTATTATCAATCTTAGGTAATTGGCGAACGTAGCAATACAGCATAAATATTATTATCATAGAAAAACATAACAATGCTTATTAATACAGACAACGCAGGTAACGTTGCAAGGTATCATGTACATAGACTTGTACTATGATGTACGAGATGGGCAATCCTGGCGTAATGCCGCTTCACTATGGAGACCACCATATGAGTTTATTTGGAACCACTTGAAGAGTAAAAAGGTAGGCCCAACATCTGTGCGGGCACTATGCTATAGCAAAACTAGTGTTTGAACCTTCATTTGTGCTTCCGTGATTGGCATTAGCGCAGCACAGGGGCTGTTGTTTCTTTTTACATACAATATTTTTAAAAATTGTTTTGCAAAGAGCAAAGACTGGCGGCCATGACAGTGCCCAGGCTAGTATATTATAATTCAAGTCTACGGATACTATTCAGTATTTTCTCACATAGCACAAATGATGTAACAATTGATTACAAATGACACCGTGTGTCTGATGGAATACAACGAGATGCAATATTAAATGGTATCCAGTACATTGTATATATGACCGAAGGAATTGGATGAGCACCAATAATAATAATATGGCAAAGAAGTAACGCAGCAACTGGTGATTTAGCGTTAAAGTAACGCAATACAAAGTTACGGAATCATGTAGCGTGCAGTACAATCTGAAATAGAACAACAACAACAACAATAATAATAATAATAATAATAATAATAATAATAATAATAATAATAATAATAATAATAATAATAATAATATAATAATAATAATAATATAATTATAATAATAATAATAATAATAATAATAATAATAATAATAATAATAATAATAATAATAATAGTAATAATAATAATAATAATAATAGTAATGGTAATGATACTACTACTACTACTACTACTACTACTACTACTACTACTACTACTACTACTACTACTACTACTACTACTACTACTACTACAATAACAATAGCAATAACAGTAATAAAAATATCATAATATTTATAATAATAATAATTATTATTTTTATTATTATTATTATTATTATTATTATTATTATTATTATTATTATTATTATTATACCTTGTCACATTTTTAAGCATATTATACTGTGGTAAAATGAAAAAAAAGCTAGTTTCACAACGAGTCGATATTCTCTAAAAATTTCAGGAATACGAATTCAATCAATTTTAAAAGCGAAAACAACAACAACAATACGGAATGTTAACATAACAGATTTACTCACGACTTACAAGAGTGGGGGGGGGGGGGGTCTACAAAAGTAACACTATCAGTAGCGTTGATGACGCCCTGACATCGTCGCCGCCTTGAATCAATCAATCGTTGAGGGATATTATTCCACTCTTCATGCGATGCTCTCTCAAGTTGAGGAAGTGTCTGAGGCTGGTGTTGTCGCATGTTGTTCAACTCATCTCTGGTTTGTCTTGCCGCTTTGAAACGATTCCGTAGATGCGACAGGCGTATAAAAAGATCCTCTCTTGGAGATGTTTTTCTTCTCCCACGTTGGCGGTGTCGATCCTTTCCTGATTTTGTTGTTTTCTCACGATCCATTGTTGTGTACACAGTTCTTCGTGTTACATTAAAATGTCTCACAACAGTGGATACTGAGGCACCCCCGCGGATCATTCCAACAAGCTGATTTCGCACATTTTCTCTTTGGGCGTGACATATCATGAAACGTAGACAAAACAAATTTTATCACTGGCGAATTGTTACAAAAATGTCAAAGCTTTGATGTGTGCTTCTTTTTTAAACAAATCATTGCCGTATCTTGAGTAATTCTCAAAAAAGACAAAACATGTAACACGCATGCAGTTACAAAACCTCTCGCGCTTCCAGAAATCTGACAACAGCTCACCAGCGACAGGTATATCACGTAATCAGTGTGTAAATTTGAAAGTAATTGGTGGCATAGATTTTGTTTCATTGAGCTTCAAAATGTATATACTTAAAAATTTGACAGAGTATATTATTATTATTATTATTATTATCATTATTATTATTATTATTATTACTATTATTATTATTATTATTATTATTATTATTATTATTATTATTATTATTATTATTATTATTATTATTATTATAATGATGATGATGAAAGCTCAAAATAAAATATTGCCTTTGAAATTCTGAAATCAGGCATTCTCACAGCGTAAGTAGGTTAACCCCAAAAGTATTATGATATACCACAGCTCAAGCCGTGTTGTTAAACAAAATATTAATGAAGGTGAGGAAATAATAGTTTACAATTTTTGCCAAAGTACATAAAATAACATAAAATAATGGTTTTCTCTAAATGGCTTGCTCAAGTTCAAATATTACTTTATGTTCTACTCAAAAAAACATGCGGTCACATGATTTGCTGAAGGTGACACAATACATGGCTTCTTTAAGGAAACGCATTATAGTCACATGACTTGCTCAAGGAAACATGTGGTCATATAGTTTTTCCCATGATCATATGTGGTCACATGACCAGCCCCAGTCTATACTATGTGGTCACATGACTTATCCAAGAAAACATGGGGTCACATGACTTTCCCATGTAAGCATGTTATCACGTGGCTTGACATTCGGGTATTACCAAATTCCGTAACACCAGTAATAGGGCCCCAAGTTCCTACTCTAAAACTAATATCATCATTTATTATAAACATTAATAAAGCCTGGTATGCCACGTCATGTCAGATTATGGTAGCAATTCCCGGACACAAAGAAATGCTGAAGACAAGAGTTTTGTGAAATTTGGGGGGTGGGGGTCACTAAGGGTCAGCTGTACAAAATCAAGAACAAAGTTAATGAAAGGGTACTGATCAAATGTGGAACAGTATGAGGCATTCTATGATAAACAAGAGGAAGAAAATGAATGCAAACAAGGCGTTCACTAATGAACCAAGTGTTTCACGTGGCTACGACGACAGTATAACAAGGAAAGACTAAATTACCATAGATATATAAATAGATTCCTCAATACTGATCAGCGTAGGAAAATTTCGGTTTCAATGCAATACGAACAAATACCTAGGTAAATACATAAACTACCAAAGCGTACATACAGAGGGGGAGGGGGGTGTTTGTTTGTTTGGGGGTTGTTATTTTTTTTTTCAAATCTACCAAATTGACAACATCACACCAAAGAACACAATCTTACAAACACACTATTGCAGTACGCCAAGGTGCTACGTCCTGTTTTACGCGATGGTTTAGTTATGGAACTGGAGACCAAATAGAAAAAGAAGAAGAGGTAGACCCAACTGCCAACTATAGGATAACCCTAAGAGATTAGGCTATCACCAAAGGGCTGGATGTGACAAAGCTAGGGGAAGTGGCCGGGGACAGACAAGCTCCCTGCATTGTTCTCCTGCTGCTACGGGTAGAGAGTAAGTAAGTATGTCACGACAGGGTGGAATCAGGCTCTCATCAATTTTGGGGCATGTGGAGTTTTGGTATCGTCTTAAGGGTTTTTCATTTGCCTTGCTTTCTTTGAAAGAAATACCCATTTCTCTTGAACACCGGTCAAGATATTTGCAATTGAAGGAAGTGGGGGTCTCCTTGTTTCAGGGGTGGAATTAGCGAACAAATGGCCGCAAAAGTTTGGTTATTTACAAAGCCTGAGAGTCCGTGGAAAATGAGAATTTACATTTTCTGTTGTGCTTTAATTAATCTCTTTCAGGAAAATCAACACAGAAGTATGTTCTTAATTGGACATTAAAAGAATTGAGCCAAAAATCAACATTTCGATAAAAAAATTGCTTTACCGAAGGAAAAATGCAAGTTTCTTCTTATTCATTATTTTGAAGAGCACCTGATTTCACCAAGCTGCCTCACAAATTATCGTGTCCTGCTCAAGGTCACACTCCAGCCCCCACCCACGAAAAAATCATGTCTTCGACTTATGCTAGAAAGTATTGTGAGGCTGAACTCACAAAGACAAAAAGGAAGATGCAGACCCAGCAGACTTTCACATTGACCACATCGCCAAATCTAGCGCATGAACATCAATAAAGTCAAAAGAGCTAACGAAGACCGGAATACAATAATAGGATAACCCTGCTGGTTACCATGTACATGTAATAACCATATTATCTTCCTTTAGGATCATATGACGGAAGTGAAGATGAAAAGGGAGGGCACTCAGTTTCTTCTATGTGATGTCAACAAGTCTTAGGAAGTGGCTGCTCTAATTGTCTGGTTCTGGTAGTTTGCCAAAAGGCAAAAACGTTTAAATGCTCATACCTACCATCCAAATAACAGCACAGACGATGTCTTTAAGTAAAAACCACCATAGTGTGCCCAAATCTAAAGAATGAAATACAACTTCGTCCAAAAAATATTGGCCTTTTTCGAAGAACACAAGCGCAAAGATACCCGAAGGGATAATAAACACAAAACATGCGAGCGAGACCATGAAGAGAAAAAGCGCCTCTTTAGTCAGGTTCGTGTCAACATTTCCTTGGGGTGGGGTGTGTGATAAATGTGAAACATTTGATGAAGTCACACACACAGGAGCGGCCGAGTGTACGCTGTACAGGCTTGCAGTGGGTGGACCGTGGGTCAACAAGGAGGGGTCGTGAGGCACTGTCGCTGGCGGACCGCAGGGGCTACTGAAACCGGGTGAGTTTGGAATTGTATGGGAATTTGTGGGCGCAGAATGCCTCACCAAATACGCACCTGCCACATTAGTGGAAGGGATGTCCACTGTCATATGATTTTCTTGAAATGTTTCTGGCGTGGTTTCTGGGATCCCCTTTTTATCATATCCATTGTTAATTTTCCTAGTCGTTTGTCCCTTTTCAGCTCTGACGTTGTTTGTAACTGCATGTTGCAAGCTAATGAGTTCTCCCCCCTGACGAGGTAATGTCTGGGGAATACCTCCTCCAGTCAACAGGCTCCTATTATTGGAATTTGAACGCAATACCAACAGGGTCACCGCTGAAAACAACAAGGCCAGGAATGGGAGAAGGAGGTTAGTGATGGAATTCAGAGCTTTCCTCCTAGACAGAGGCATCTCGATTGCATGGCAAAATACCTCATAATGAACACCAGCGAAAGAAATAGGGAAAACTATGAGTGAAGACAGAGCCCACGGTACAAAAGCGAAAAGCAATGACAAAACAGTAACTGTACTCTCGCTGCACGAATAGATTCTCTTCCGAGTAAGAATTTCTATTGCCAGAAGAATCAGCCCTGTGCAGTATCCGAACGGCATAAATTGAAACATATAGCTACGAACAAAAACAAAAAGTAAACAGATATCTTTTTTAAACTGATCGTCAAATGCAATCATCGTTTCGATTACTAGACAGACCAAAGCTAAAAGGAAATCCGCAACAACGAACGTCCCCAACAAACCACGTTGTAGCTTGGGCAAAGCGTTCCATTTTCTTATAATACATAAGGACAATCCACAATTCGCTAGTGTTATGCCAATGAGGAATATAATTAAAAAAGCTTTTTTAGAATCATTTACTGCTTCCCAATCAATGTCACTCATCTTAAACGATGGACGAACAAATAATATGCGTGTGAATGACTCAGCACACAAATCTGGAAGTGTCAGTATGTAATGCCGGAGTTGCGAAAAGTTTTTGCTCTTTCTCGTTTTCAGTATCTTTATTTTGCTGCTGCTCTGAACAGGAAAACATCTGCGGCATCTAGTAGAAAGATCGAAGAAGGTGTAGACTTCTCCTGAAAAGATACAAGAGATAAAATGTACCACGACACGATGGAATCACGCGCTCGTCATCTGTGGGACACATGGAATTATTGGTATCATCTTAAAGCTTGTTCATTTGTCTTGCTTTTCATGAAAAAATACCCATTTATTGTGAATACACGTCGAGATATTTGCGAGTATAGGAGGTAGGTGCCAGAGGTAAACACGGAGAGGAAGTGGCCACCAAAGTTTAATGACTTGCAAAACGTGACTGTCCTTGGAAACTACAAATTTACATTTGTTTATAAATGCCTTTGACCAACTTTTTAAAACGAAAAATCGACACAGAAATATGCATTTAAATGGACATAAAAAGTGCTGAACCGAAAATAAAACCTATAAAATTGGCCAAGGGAGAGAAAAATGTGGGGTGTCTCCGATTCCATTATTTTGACGCGCGCCTATTTTCACCATGGTGCCACTAACATTGATTTTCTTCTAGTTAGACAACAAAGTGGAACAGAACCTTGCCAATGAATAAACACAGTTAGTAATGTTGTGAGCTGAGGGATCATCTGAAAATCTATTTTGCTAGATTCTACTTGTTGAAAACTTCACTCTAATTTTGACTCAACAATAATGTATGAAAAGAAAAAAAAGAAAAGGATCTACTAAAGATAAAATGTTTAGTTTCATTAGCAAGGCGTCATTTGGATGGTGTGTTCGTGGAGTGGTGAAAGTTTTATTACTTGAGTGTTCAGTTCCAATGCAAGATGAACAAAATTGATTTTTAGATAACAATAAATTCATGTAGATCTCGAAATCAAAGCGACAAATAAAAAGAATGAAATTAAAAGCATATTAATATAGTCTCTAAAAATCCATAAACATTAAAATAATACACGATCCCATTCACTGTGCCCTTGACTATCTTCAACTTGCAATGGATTAAATGTACACACCCATTTTTTACCCCTCGAGCCGCCCCTGGGCGTAACGGTTGGTACAAAAAAAGTGCAGAGTAAAAACTAGCATCAGAATTGATCCTACTTTAACAAGAAAGATATGTCAAGTAAGGTTGTAAGTACAGTGGAACTCGGATTCAACGAGGTCGTTGGGCCTGACCTAAAATCTCGTTGAATCCGAGTGTTCGTTATAGCAAACACGAGGTTTTGTGTAGATAATTACAGGCACTGAGCAAGTAATGTATAAAGAGAAGTCACATGTAGTGCCTGAAATGCCTGCATAATATGAGCTGTGTTTTAAAAAAACCGATTCGTTCAAATACACAAGCCTGTGTCATCTCGATTGTTTACCAAGAAAAAGTTGTGTTGCTCTGTAGAGCCGAGCATACGGCAACTTTTGATTCCATAGACCAGCGCCGCACAATTCATTACGCAGATCTACGTCAAGACTATCTTATTATTGTAATAATGATCAGTTGCCGAGGGGAAAACAAGACTGATGCGTTTGTATATGCGACGTTCAACGCCCGGACCACTAGTGCCCCCCCCCCCCTTACCTATCCCCGACACGCACACACAGCCACACGTGTGCAGGCAGCCCATGCGACCCCGACACACACCAGAGAAGACACGTACGCATGCCAACAACACACGTGTAGGTATTTAAAAAGGCCGCTGATTGGTTGCATGCAATTGGCTAAGTGAATAATGGTTCATGATGCTGGTGCAATGGATGGTTTCTGGGAATAGATTAAGTTTCTTCTGGGATAAAAATGAGCGAAGCCACGTCTGCGGGGGCTGTTCACTCTGGAAGCGACCTCGTTGAATCCGAGCTCGCTGATTTAAGTGCTCGTTGAATCCGGGTTACTTTTATTGATTTTTAAAAAGAAAAAAAACAGGGAATCTATCCCATCTCGTTGAATCTGAGTTCTCGTTGAATCCGAGCTCGTTAAATCCGAGCTCCACTGTATTTCGTTTTATTTAGTCTCAAATTGTAAATGGTTTGACAAAAGACATGCCCCACTGTCCTGTCTAGATCTTTCCGTATGTAACAAGAATGTGTGTACGTACGACAAGCATTGAAACTTTCCATTTTTAAAAGAAAATAGTCGGTAGTCTCTCAGACTCCCAACCGTAAGGTCATGGGTTCGAATCCCGACAGGTGCCCGACGTTAAAACTAAATGTTCCTCACTTCCCCCAAGTGAGAATGGGTACGTACCTGATTACAGTGGCGAAGCGTCTATATAATCAATATAATAAAATAATCACTGCTTCCCTTCCTAATTTTGAAACATTGTCGCAGTCAAATTCACCCATTAACGTAAACCTCTTACATTACATGTAAAAAGACGTTCATAATCACCAAGGAACAGTATGCCTAACATTCTAAACGCGTTCAGTACCACCGAAATAGCCTGTTCATCCCTTTCGAGCAGTCAGTCACTATAAGCAGTCAGATGCTTTGATTAAGAAAGTTTAAACTAAAAGTGAGGCTGGAAGACTCTACCAAAAGAGTTGAAGGGAACATGTATACAGCACTCAAACCTGTTTCATTGCCACATATACCCTGTTCACAGATATAAGCAGTCACAAGCACTGATTATGTAAGCGAACTATTACACTGGTCGAGTCTACCTCACAAATATGACGGGAACTAGCTCCTAATACTCATGTATTACCTGATCACTACAGAGCAACCTGCAGACGTGGGAACTCAGAACACAAGGCTACAACTCCTGTAGTTACATCTGTGTCTTGCCACTGACACGTACACAGACCGCACTGACTGAATACTGACCTAGGGCCCCAATTTCCCAGATCCTTTCATGCACGGATACAGCCAATGGACAAAGCATACCTGGCTATTTTTAACCCGCACATGTATTGCTACATTCCTCTACAGGTTTTTTCCAGGGTAATATTGAGAAATATTGAGGTCGGACGGGTTCTCAACTGTAGGGGAAAAGGGTGTGTGTGTGGGGGGGGGGGGCTACTGGATATATTACAACTAATACAACACAAACCAGGACGTGCTGGTTAGAGTGTCTCAAAAGAAGAAAAGAATGTTGGTTTCTTTGTTCTTTCTTATTGTGTCTGTTTTATTCTCCCTTACTGTTGATATCTAGGAACCGGTGCTTTGTTGACTGAACACGACACATATTTTAGTGTCCTGAGTCTTAAATATATACGAGGCACACACACACAGAGAGAGAGAGAGAGAGAGAGAGAGAGAGAGAGAGAGAGACACACACACACACACACACACACACACACACACACACTTCTCCGGTGGAGAGCCTCCAGGCCGAGGCCAACATACACACACACACACACACACACACACACAAACACACACATACAAAACAGACACACACACATACAAAACAGACACACACACATACAAAAGCGTATCCCTTGTTTTGACCCGTTTATGAGTCATAGCTTAGAAATATCTGTAGTTATTTTTACTTCCTTTCTAGGGATCTGGCAATTGTTTTTCCGTTTCTGAGGTCGCTGTGGTCAGATATTATGTCATCAAGGTGCGCCTTCTTCAAAGCCGGGTATACTGGGACAGCAGAAATAGGGGTCAACCGTGGTTTTGTGACGCCTACATCGTTCAGTGAAAACGTTCCACTCACACTTACTCCCACAAACAACCTGGCAGTTCTTCGACGTAGGCTCCTACACTCACCTACAGACTTACAAAGCCTGCTCTACTCTGGCGTTGGCCAGATGACAAGGACATGTGGTT